TGTACCTCTTAATTTTTGCTTGTTGTAAGGAGAAGCTTGACTTTTTTACCTCTCATCTAAGCATTCGGCAGCCAGAAATCAGAGGAAGACTTTTAATTCTGTGTGTCATAGTTTTCCAACACAACAATGAAAATCAGTCTATCTCATGTATTTGGCTGGAACTCCTTCTTCTCTCTGTGGTTTAGCACTTGATTCCTGACCCAGCAAAATATGCAAGAATATATTTAACTTCCAGCATGGAATCTATCCCCTTGCTTATTTTTACTAGGCTGCTCATCTTTTCAAAGTTAAGCATGTGTTCTAAAACATTTTGGAAAAAAAGTCTGAGACCTTGAGTCTGGTGTGTGTGTACTGCAAGCTGTAGAGTGGCCCAAATATCCAAAGTATTTGCATTTATAGATAATGTCTAACTTCTACAATATGTGTCCACCCACATTCTTCTTGTATTAAGATCAGGAAAATAATAATTTAATAGCATGTCATATATAGAAACAAATGAGAAGAGAATCTGTCAGGAAGGTGGAGTGTAAATCAGGACATTAAGCAGCATTTTGATGTTGAATAGTACTGAAAAAAATTAGCAGATATGAGAATATATAAGGCAAGCATGGTCCATGGATCTTCACACAGAGATTATGAAGCGTCAGCAAGAAGGAAATTATTAGATTTGAGATTCTTTAAGCTTGGCTGTGCATACTTTGAAAAAGACAAAAAATACAATCTGTCTGTTTACTCAAAGAAAGAAAAGCTGTCCTTTTGCTGTAAGAAAAAGTATTTAATGTGTTTTAGATGAAATTTGTACTTAACTGAAAAAGAACGAATGTAATTTAGTTTCTGGGCAAAAAAATCAGGATTAAAGCACACAAATAGTTAGGGAATTTGTTTGTTTGTTTTTTGTTTTACTTGACAGTAATTGCCTTATTATAAAACTATTTTTTGGGAGTGTAAAACACCGTTATGGTCTGGCACAGGTTTCCCAGAGCAGCTGTGGATGCCCCATCCCTGGAAGTGTTCAAGGCCAGGCTGGATGGGGCTCTGAGCAACCTGGTCTAGTGGAAGGTGTCCCTGTCCATGGCAGGGGGTTGGAGATTATTCTTAAGATCCCTTCCAACTGTAAACAACTTATGATTCTATAAGCTTCAAGCCTTAAAAAAAAGAGGTTTCTTTCTGGAAACTCTCCTACAGTGCAAACAGAAGGTAGAGACTTGATGGAGGAAATGAAATAGTTTTCAGGAAGACATTCATGATCAATTTGTGTGGGAGGCCAGAGCAGGAACTAGCAAAGACCATTGTGATCCTTTAAATCCATGAAGTGCCACTTAGTGTCTTAGTGAAGACAATCAGATGTTTCTAAACATTTTTTTCCTTAGAAGGAAGTGTTTGTCCCTCAAATTTACCTGCTCTAGGTAATTCAGTTTATAGGCTCTCCCACATGTACAAAATGTGTTGTGTGTAGTTTGGAGTTGAGCTAATCCTTCAGCAAGAGCCACATTCCTGTCCTTGCCTCAGCAGTGGTCTGCTTGCCTGGGAACAGTTGTTTTATTAAGAGCAGTGAGCTACACATAACAAATTTCCGTTCAACATTTTGTTTCCCTTAAATGGAAAACTAGCAGCTGCCAAGGTTCCCAAAACTTGTGTTTAGTAGGTGATTAAAACTTCATTTTAAACATATAAACAGAGGTGTGTTCATTTATACAGGTGCTGTGAGCTCATGCTTGCCTTTGATTTTCAGTGATGTCTACAGACTCCTCTATTATATCATGCCATCATTACATTTATGTAAAGATATATATATATTTATTTTTCTGAAGTTCCATACTTAAGTGCTAAATTCAAAATAGAAATCTGAGTGGTATGCCATATATGTGGGTACTGTTTTCATAAAGGGACTCCAGACTGCTCTAGATGATAATGCAGCTTGAATTGTTTGTTATAAGAAAGCTAATTCAGGCATATGCGATGTTTGGAAAAGGTTGAACTGAAAAGAAAGATTAAATTTTAAAAGCTTTTAAATAAACTAAAGTAAAAAAAAAATATCATGTCTCGGTTTCATCTACCTGGCCTACCCCTGTGTGGAGTATCATAGAGAAAGTGAGGAAAGTATGTGGAGTATAAGGGGAGCTGGGGGTGACAGAAGAGACAACTGATGCATGAGAGACAAAGCTCTTGCTGGAACTTGAAGTGTATTTGTTTTCACTAGTACACTTCTGGTCTGTTTGAACAATGTTGTTCTTGTGTGAGGGAATGCCATTCTTTGCTTTGTTTGGAACACATCCATCCTTTCTGGATGTGTATAGCAGGTGCTGGGCTACTTACTGGTTATGTTTGGTCGATAAAAAGGAAAACCATGTTGTAAAGTGTTAAAACAGTTATTATATAGGGTGATTTCCTAAACAGATTTAAGAAAAGAGGGACTCAGAGTGCATAATTAGTGTTAGATTAAAAGTAGACCTTTTAGAGGACAGCTGGTATTTTTCAAAGTCCGATCAAGCTAGCAGAAGATACTGGTATTGATGAACTCAGGGAAAAGAATGGAATACTGTCCAACTGCGTTGTATGCAACTTGCAATATATGATATTGTAGTACATGAGCATTTGTGATCCCATTAGGCTTTTTTAACAGTTCTTAGTTCAATAAAAAAAGTTTATTTAAATGCTTATGTGTCAGATTTGAGTGTGCTACTGGAGATCATGGAGAAGGACTCAAACACTTGGAATCTGCCCGGACTATGGAATTGCTTACAGTTTCTTGTTGCTGGTTTGTCACTAATGCATGCTGATAAATGGGCAGAATTGTATGTTTGTTGCTCAACAGCTACATCTATTCTAGCAGTGACTAAAAATAGAAAAAAAAAAAAAAAAGGAATTGTAGCATGGCTTTAAGCTAGCGGCTTTTATACATGCCTCCCCAAACAGAAGGTGATGTCATGCCTCAAACAGTGAATTGTGCATATTCCTTATTTCAAGACTTGATCTATGGGGAGAAACTAATCCACCAACTTGGCTGGTTCCTGAGCTGATGGCCTCATGTGGCTGCTGTGGTGCAGTTTTCTGAGCCTTGGAATGAGAGGGGCAGTGAACAATGAGCTTCAGGTGTTGTTCTGCCTCTGGATTTCTTCTCATGGGAGCAGGCATGTGACCTGCAAATTGTCCTGCGAGAGTGGCATTCTGAAAGCATAGGAAAAGAGACAGCAGAGCATCACTCTTTCCAACATACTGTAAGAGACAGGTGGAGCCTTATTTCAGATAAATAAGTTATCAGGGTTAAAATTAATATTGGATGCATTAGAAGACATCCTGCATAATAAATCCTGTGGTTGTAAAGAAAGCTTTTCAGTGCACTCCGAACTTGTTGAAATGTATTTCTGTTTATATGTGCAAGGAAAGCAAGTGATTTTATGTTCTGCTACTCCTTTTTCTACAACTGGATGCCTTACCAAAAAAAAAAAAAAAAGGTTAAATAACAGATGTTTTAAAGAATTAATCAGTAGAGCATGTCATGGATTTATCTGGTGTATCTTTGAGTGATCCTGTGCAAATGTGCGCCTTCTAAAACCGTGTGGCTTCTGTATAGCCAGTTTCAACTTTATGAATGTCTTGTTTTGGAAGACAGGTGTCTGCTAGGGAGAGCAGGAGCCTCCCTTGGAATGAAAATGTAGACCTTCTCCCACTGAATTATTATAATTTTGAAATCAAGGGGCTCTCAGGCAGAGATCTGGGGATAGGAATAACAGTTCTTTAGTAGTGTGTATAACAAGGGAAACAAACAACAATAACTATAGCATTAGCAAGAAAACAGAACCAGGGACCCCGTGACAGCCTTCTCAGCTGAGATGGGATGGAGGAGAGGCTTTGTTTCACAAACCCCTCGGGCGGGCAGTCCCGGTGCTCCTGCAGGGCTCTGAGGAACACTCAGCTGGAACAGCAGGGATGAGCTGAGATCCTGGGCCGGTGGCTGAGGTGCATCAGCAGCTCCGCGGCGGTGCCTGGCACTGCCACACGTCCCGGCAGGACAGGGGGTGCGAGGCCACCAACAAAGAGGGAAGAAGGAGAAGCAGAAGCAGCAGCTCTGTCTGGGTGATGGCGAATTCCCTTCTCCCAGCCGCAACAGCTCCCCGCGAGTGTTCTTCTCTGAAGCTGAAGAAACCAGCCAGCCCCCAGCTGCCCCCTCCCCCCTGGGCCCAGCCAAACTCGTTGTGTTTTTCAAGCACCCACGAAGTACCAGGAACCCGGTTTTCCCTGCCACTGATGGGTAAAAATTCCATAGGTGAGACAGAACAACAGGACAGACACCTAACCCCCCAACAATGAATCCCAATGTAACTAATTAAAAAGGAAATGTTTTTAGTAACAATATGTGAACTCAGAGAATAATTGGGTTGTAATTCAATCTGTCAGCTCTACTGCCATTCAGGGTTTATTAAGGCCTCAGAAATCTCAGTTTGAATTACTGCTTTATTCTGTACATAACCTGGAACAATGTATATCTTAGCATTTCATTTGTGAGGCTGAGAATGTTTTATAAACCTGAAAATATTACTAAAATGTATTCTTACTGTAAAATTTCAATCTTGCATTTGGAGGAAAAACCATATTGCATTGCATTTCTTTAATTTAGATTTTTCATCAGTTGTGTTAGAGCTTTAACAGTAGATGTTTATTTACAAAAACTGCTTACTTTATATTGTGGCGGGTGTGAAAGATTTTTTTTTTATGTATCTCTATTTCACGTAACAAAACAAATTACTGTCCGGAGTGTTTACATTTTGTTTAATATTCACTTTAGTTTACTGTAGAAATACAACTTTAGTCATTGGCACAGAATTACCCTCCAGCCTTATTTATACTGTTTTCTTAGCACAATAAAGTCACTCATAAGAGCCCAACATATTTGCATATATATATATATACACACACACATACACGCACACTGTATTTCCAGTTCTTTGTTTTTGGAATTCATTCTCTTAAGGCAGTTCTTAAATCTTCTTTGTCCTCAGGCTGCTGAGTCAAACCATGAAGGAGCATCTGGTACGAGTGGCTAATGAAGCAGAATTTATCCTGAGCAGACAGAGGGCAGAGGATATTAACCGCCATGCTGAATTTGAGGTAAGAAAGGAAATCTTGTTTCAAAAAAGCAAAACACAAAAGCATAACCATCCTATAGTTTAAGGATTTCTGGCTGGGATATGGGCTTTGCAGGCCTCAGGCCTTTCTGCTCTGAAGGATGCTTTGCAGTTGTAGGGTGATTTGATAAGTTTGCCACCAGCTTTGATGGAAAAACAAGATGAGCAGAGCAGCTCAGAACTTGTTGAAATGTGCACACTGTAGATTGTAGGAGAAAGACTTTTATCATACCAGTGCTACTCTTTTCCATTTAGCAAATTTCACTGTATGTGTTAAAGCTACTTAGCATCACAGTCAAGATACAGGTCTGAAAATACCCACTTTGCTGAAGATAAGTGGTAACAGCCTGTGAAGTGCAAAATGAGAAATTGCTTTCCTTTTTCTTTTTGTATCATATGCTATTTAATCCCTCTTTAAACCCATTCTCCTTATGTTATACATGCCTCAGTGTGGTTTAGTTATGTTTTCATATTTTCACCCCACTTAAGGGCATCTAATGCAAAATGAGGGTCTCTGTTTTTGTAATAAACTTATATTACTTCTAACAAAAATGCAAGCCTGTTTTCTCAATCACTTTGGTCATACCTCCAATTTAGGATCTTGGTTACATTGCATATCAGCTTTCTCTGTGCTTTAATTATTGAGTAAATGAAAATTAAGGTAAATCTCTCTCAATTCACTAATATTCTACTTAAAGAATACTTTGTCTTTCTTCTGACATGCGATATTACTTGTGGTTTTGTTTTTAAAATGAGGCATTAAGAGATTGAAGGCACATTTGTGCTTAACGTATTTCTAAACTGTTTTCCTCTTAAATCTTTACTTGAAAAAATACTCCCTGAAGATGAAAGCATATTTGTCTTAGACAGTGCTTATGTTCTAAAGGTCATCTGGGTTGGCCCCAGGATTCAAGCTGTGCGTTGTCTAATAACATATCTGCAGTTCATCTAGAGCTAGTTACCCCCTCCTGCAAACAGAGATGTTGGAAGGTATCTACAGTACCGTTCTGCAGTGGTGAAATAGCAGGCATGTTTCATTTATTACATCAAGGGTTTGGCGACAGTCCTGTGGAGATGAAAAGTGCATCCTTTTACTCTGTTGCCTGATAATCACTGGACTGGGACATGCTTGACATCTTCTGCTCTGGATTTATGCAGAAGCTCCATGCATGACATGGTGTTATTGATTAGAAGAGCAGCCCTCTTTTTTTCCTTCAGATGCAAACTATTCGCAAAGAGGGGTGTGTATATGTAGGCAATGTGAGAGAAATGAAGGGTTCTGTCATATAAATGCAGGCTTTCTGTGAATACAATTGTTCAGTGACAGCTGCACTCTTAGCCCTACTTCAGCCTCAAGATAGCTTTTATGGTATCTGGAATAAATTTAAACAGAGCATCAACTTACATTTTTAATATAGCTCTGAGTTCTGCTGTTACAAGTCTCTGGGATGAGAGTTGGCTGATATTTTAGGCCAATGCTGGTTTGAATCTGTCCTGTCTTAGTGGTGGTGGTGGCTCAAGAGGTTTAACTCATCAGGTGGAACTTAAATGGAAAATGGTGTACTCAAATATCAGCAGTCTGCTTATCCAGTTTAGTTTTGTTTCTGTGCTGGAAAACTGATCCAGCAAGGCTACAGGTGTAGAAACGGAGGATATACAACTATTGGGTTCTACCAAAAGTATGAAGAATCTGATGTCTGTGGCAGACTTCAGTCAGTGTTGTGTTCCTTTGTGGAAAGAGGAACTATTAGTCATAGCTGTCTGAGTCTGCAGACAATTAACAATCAGAAATTCTGGTGCACTGTTTTCTGTCCAAGTCTTAAGATGTCATAGCTGAAGAAAGTGAGTAGAGCAATGATCCTATAAGGATCATTATGGAAAATTATGTATATGGACATGTGGGTTTGATCACATTAAAAATGTTTTGTGCTTCTGGTGATTACTAGTTGCAGGTGATTTTAAGAAATGGATGGGATTGGCATGTGTGGTTCACATTAGAAGAAAGTTTTGCCCTCTGAGTGCTATGGAGAAAGGAGATGAGAGTGGTTGATGAGGGATAAAGGCCCTCAGATGAGAAATAAGGAAAGAACTATTACCTGGTTTTTATTCAGACTTGCAAATCTGGTGTTTCACATTGCATATGGAATAATCCATGTTTACACTAGGTCAGCAAGAAATCCAACCTCCAATTTTCTTTTTAAAGATCTTTAGTATGTTTACTGCTACTTGATTGTAATTCTCCATTTCTGAATGAAGATGAAGATGAAGCCTTGCAATATCTGAGTCACATTTTGAAGAGGTTTGCACTATACATGCAAGGAGAGTTTAGAAGTAGAAGGCAAATTGGATTTTACTTTTTAAAACTGAAGTCTGGTATTTGGAGCACATAGAGGCAGGAAAAGACAAGGGGAAATATAGTCAAGCTTCATAGTGAAGCTCTCTAGTTATGTATAATAGTATAGATTCAGTTATAAATGGGGTAAGGATGGTCATTGTAAGAGGAAGGGAAAGCCTAGGAAAATAGGTAATACAGGAAAGGCACTGCTGTGCGGAAAACTGCATCTTAGAAATGTGATGCAAGAAATTATTTGACAGGTGATAGTTTATAAGTTGCACAGAGTGCCATTCCTGTTTGGTTCTTAATTCATTGCAAGTACAGGAGAGATGTTTTCTGTCCAGAAGTGGTTTCAGAAATGTCTACCTATCATTTTTTCCCATCCAGGAGGAGACAGAGAAGCAATAGAAAATGCAGCACATGTGAGCTTTGCTGTGTAATCTCAGGTTGGGTTTTGCTCTGTCTCTGTGTGGTGGGACCCTAAATTGGTAAAATGATGAAGAACCTTTTCCATACAGTAGCACGGCCAAAAACATGGGAAGAGTCTCTGAAGGAAGTTTTGTTTTCTTTTTTTTTAGGCTTGTTTCAGTTTGTTCTGTAACTTTGGATATGCAGTAAAACTTCAGTGCCTCAGCAAGATAGATTTAAACTTGAAGGGAATAGAAAAGAAATCCTTTCTATTCTACTTTCTGTCTTCTCATGGTAATTTTCTCTTTTTCAGAAGCTTAAAAAGTCTTTTCACGGCTACCTGTATAAGGTGTAGTTCCATATATGCATGTAGACATATAGGGAGGTTTCCAGGAAACCTGAGACATACTCATTTTACAGTGTGATCGTGCCTTAAGAAAGCCTGATGAAGGAATATTCTACTAATTTTGTAGTGAAGTAGAAATTAAATACGCATTCTTTGAGTGAATGTGGGAATGTGAGCATTTCTAACATATACCTTATAACCTTAGACTTTCTCCATTGTCCCTGGAATTTATATGTACATGTCTCTTAAGTATTTTTCAAAATCTCAGCCTTGGTGTTCGGCAGAGTTGAAAATCCTGAAGAGGAATCCCTTTATCATAGTTTCATGCTACCACCCAAATTGTTTTCTAGAAATGACCTTGAAAAATGTTGTGATTCTCACTGTGTCTTAGATTATCTGTGCAGACTGCTGTGGAGTCGGGCCTATGGGAATAATTGGATTTGGTGTGAGGAGGGGGAGGGAATTTTGTATTCTAATTGACTTTATTTTATAATTTATGACAGGAGTGCCCATTGCCTTGGCTATGCCTCCTGTCTTATATAAATCTCTTGCTGTACTTCTGGATGAATATACATATTTATAGAATTTTAAATTAAGTAAACCTGCAAGGTTTTTAGGCCTGGACTGTTCAGTGTTTCATCTTTCTAGTGAAGCTTTAGTTTGCTATTGGATGGCACTATTGGATTTAAGCAAAAATCTGTGATACCAAGTCTCAATACTTGAGTAAAGTATTTTTTGAAGACTGTTCCAGGACCATGGTTTCTTTTTTTCATTGTTTGTTTTGTCTTGTTTTTCTATTGTTTTTTTTTTTGTCATGAAAGATTCACATGTAAAGTTAGGAAACGGGGAAAAACATGCAATACAAAACTGTTCACAATGTTATACATTATGGTGTGTGTAGAAGAGCAGCGGAGAGCGCCACACAATAATTTTCCAAAAACTTTCTATAATGGGTGGACAAGGATTCTTCATTCTGAGGAAAACAAATCTCTTGGTAGTTTTTTCAGTAAAATGTTACTGCTACTCTAATTGGCAAAATAGCCTGCCTCCTCAGAGTGTACTTTTCCTTTGCATTTGTTATAAATCATGCTAGGCAGCTAACTTCTCTGCATGATTTCTCTTCAATAATTAAATCTAGCATTTCCAGCTGCTGTAAAATTTGTTGCCTTTTTGTGTTCAGTTATGTTTTTTCATGCGGAAGACTTGAACTTCCTCACAGTTTTAATTCTTATTCAGTGTCAATTTACAGGCTGTGGTAATAAACAGAATGCTTTTCTTCATAGCTCATGCTGAGAAATCAATCTTAAAATTGGTATTGCCTTGACAGAGGTGGGATGCAAGGCTAGGCAAGCATTCCAATAGTGACTTGGATGGAGTGGAGCTGTTTGTTTTTTGTTTCCTTGGCAGAAGGTAAAATCCAGTGCTTCCCTTGATGGATAATCTGTATTCCATATCTTTTCCCCTTTGATGCACTAAGCATTAAATGTTGGAATACGTTATTTGTATCAGAGGAAGTGACTAAAAATTACTGCAAGTCAATTCTGGCAGAATGCCCGTTAGTCAAAGGGAATGTTTGAGAGCCCTTGAAAGAATTATGGAAAGGTTTTTGGTGTTCTTGTAGTTTCTGTAGATGATTGTTGCTTCTATATGTAATAAGATAAGAAGTTACTGTGGGAAAGAGTTTTTAATCCTTGACTAGGTCTATATTCTCCATAGTTTACCAGTGTTTTTAACAAAAGCTGCTTTGTTATAGAACCTGTGCATCAAAAAATTCTTCTGTGGCTCTTGAAACATCCTTTTATATGAAGTGTTTTTCAGCACCCTTAATAGTAATGTCCTTATTTATTAAAAAAAAATATTCTCTAGTGATTTCAGTGGGAATTCTCTCTGTTGA